AAACAATCTACTCCTGGGAATTTAGCAAGAAACATTGGTTGCGGTGAGTATTTGGAATCCAAAGAAGAAATAATATTATTACTATCATAGTAGATCTCAAGCAATTGAGCAATGGCTCTGGGTATTTACAGAGAATATATGCTGATACGATAACTTCCAGAATGAAAGTTGGATCCATTGTTTAGAGATCATTTTCATCTTGGGATCTGACTATCTTGACCATTGTGATAACAATCTACTAATTTCAATCTTCTAATGGCATCTTCTTTTTATATACATCAGCTTTGTTGATTGCTCTGCCATGACTCATTGCTACTGATTTGGTAAAATTTCACTCAATTGCATTATGCATTTATTTCCTATTAAGACTTAGGCAGGGCATGATGGCTCAGTAGCTAAAGACACTGAGCTTGTCAGCTGGAAAGCCGACAGCCTGGGTTCAAGATCGAAGGACAGCGCAACAGGGATAGCTCTCTTTCCTTGACCCAGCTCCTGCCCACCTAGCAGTTTGAAAGCATGCAAATTTGAGTAGATTAATAGGTACCACTTCAGTGGAAGGTACCAGCATTCCATGTGCCTTTGGTGTATAGCCATGTTGGCCACATGGAAAATGTGTTTGGACAACACTGGCTCAGTTGGCCAAGAAATGGAGATGAGCACCACGTCTTAGAGTCACACACAACTGAACAGGGAAATCTTGATCTTTAATAGTTAGGCATTTGTTTGAATGCTTTGTCCAGAAGTTGACTGCTAGAAACAAGAAAATTCTTATCAAATAGGGATTTGCATCCAATATCATTTATATGTTATGTTACTGTGATCTGTAGATTTGGGAGTGTTTATATTACTTGATGACAGTTTCAGAAATATATTTTAGTTTAATGAGATGTGCAGTTGTCAGAAAAATAGCAAAAAATTAGACATTGGTCTAAACAACGAACACCCTCTATTTGGATATGTCCTTAACACATCTTGGTCCCCTCCATTTGGACTATTGTAATGCGCTCTACATTGGGCAGTCTTTAAAGAGCATATGGAACAGGGGTGGGTTCTACTTACCTTTACTACTGGTTCACATCACGCCCGTGCCCGCTTGCTTCACTCACGCATGCACAGAAATTTTTGTGCATGTGCAGATTACTTATGATGATGTCTGGGTCAGCGGGCGGATCCTCCTGCCAGTTTTACTACCAGTTCTTGTGAACCGGTCTGAACCAGGGGCAACCCCCCACTGATCTGGAAGCTTCTGTTTGTTCCAAATGCAGTGGCTTGTATGGTTTTGTGCAAGTACAAATTTGCACATGTATCACTTTTTTTTTTTCTGCAGCCGTCAGAGCTGAATTGGGACATTTCTCATTGTACACCTATACAATCACTAGGGCGGTAGCCTACTGGCTAAAAATGACTCAGATGGAAGCCAGCAGACTCCCCAAAATCTGCCTAGAGGAACAGCAGATTTCAAATCCTCACAGGTATTCCTGGCTAACCCGGCTGTCAGAAATATTGAACCGATATGGCGTAGGGTTCCCGTTGTGTGACACACTGAAGCAAGTTAAACAACGGATTAAAGATATACATGGGCAAATGGACATGGCAACCCTTTCAACTAATCATTCCCTTAAACTGCTGACAGCAGTTAAAACAATTTTCACCCTGGAAAAGTATTTACATCTAGAAATGCCATCAGTGGAGAGACAGTTATTTGTTAAGTTTAGATTCGAACTTTTAGATACCAACGTTAGATTCGGCCGTTACCGGAAAATCCCGTATGACAAAAGAACATGCATATGTGGGATAAACATCGTGGAGGACACGGCATATATAATATTCAAATGTAGGCTGTATGAGGAAGTAAGAAAACAATATCTTATAAATAAATTTCCCCAGTGGACTATAAGGCATAAATTAGCATTTCTGTTGAAGGCTGACTCTCCTCCCCTGGTAAGAGCTATCACTCACTATCTTAAAAGGATGACAGCAATACGAGCCAGTTATATCGAAAAAAAATTCATTGATTGTAAGACAGATGAGCTGAGTTAGAGAGGAGCTATCTTATTTGGGTTATCTAGTCTTGGCAACTTAGCTATTGAAATCTGATATTGTAAAATTTTAATGTCATATATCATATATTTTTAGATTGTTATTTTTGTAACTGTTTTGTCTTTTTCCCTTTTTCTTTTCTGTTTTGTTTGAAAAGGCCTTCGGGCTATTCAATAAACAAATACACAATACACTTTTTTTGTGGGAGCTGTACTGGTTGCTGATTTGGCTCCAAGTGCAAAACACAGTCCTGGTTATCAACTTTAGAGCCTACAGGGCTTGAGTTATTTGACAAAGTGCCTCTCCCCAATTACATTTACCCAGCCACCAGAGCAGGAAGGTAGGGCATGTTGTGGGTCCCTAGTAAGTATATCTGGTGGGACCTAGGAAAAGAGCCTGCTCTTCTGGCCCCTCCCTTTGGAATGTCATTCCCCCAGGGCCCCTACCTTGTTGCTTTTCTGCAAAGCCTTGAAGGCATAGTTTTGTCAGTGGACTTGGGGACCCCATCTGGAATCAAGTGATTCCAAGTGATCAAGTGATTAATTCTATTGTTGCCACCATGGTGTGTGTGTGTTTGTGTGTGTGTGTGTGTGTGTGTTTGTGTTTTTTTTTTTGTGTGTGTGTGTAAAGTTAAATTGTGCACTTTTAACTGTATTTTTAATGTTGTATGAGTCATTGTATATGAGCTGGGAGCTATATAATTTTTAAGAAATAAATAAATACATAAATTTAAATTGCACATTTATTTTATTTATTAAAATGTTTTCATTGTTAAAAATATTTCAACCTAGCACATGCAAGATAAACAAAGCTAGAACTTAATTGCCAGTCCTATCTCTTTTCTGAGAGTGTTCCTTCCTCTGTTTCTGGTGCAGAGTTTCTGATTAATTCATGTGTTCAAAATTTAGCTAGACGTGTGAAAAAGTACATAATTATATTCTCTCAAAAGGCACAAAAAATGCTTGAGGAAAGTAGCCATGAGCAATTGGGCTTTTTTTTCTTTTTCTTTTTAATTCCTGGAAATGTCAGCCAGAAATAGTTTTAGTCCACCTGATAGAGAAAGAAATGGATTGCGCATCAAGGATTCACAGTGAGAATACATCATAGGTATGAGGGTATGGTTTTATTTTCTTACAGAAAATAAAGCAGATGGTGAATTCTGAACAGAGAGACCTTGAAGGGTCCTTCTGTTGACACACTTTTGTTGTCCAATAACAATGGACTGCCACTCTAGGCTACTTACATTGTATATGATCATACATGTGGCTCTCAGCAAGGAGTAAGAGGTCAAATCATATGTTTATTCAGTCTTATTTCTTGGCATTGAGCATAGCAGAACAAAATCAGTGGTTTCTTTCAGCAATACTAATTTGCCCTATGTATTTTCTGAAATAGACAGAGTGAAAAGAGTTTCATATCGAGTGTCTTTTGGGAAGAGGAAGCAAACTATATTATAATTACCATGTCAGATGATTAAACCCATTTCTTTGGGGTGTGTGTGAAGGAATTGGGATGGTGGCTTGGATGCATTCTGTTATGATTTTTTTTCTTATACAACAAAGGCAAAAGATCCAGTGATTTCCCTAAGGTAGCTTGCAGAAGTAATTGGTTGTATCCAAGCCTTTCCCCTATTTATTAAGAAAGGAATACTTATACCTTCTGGCAATGTAGTGCATTTTTTTTTTTTTACAGTGTTCAGGGAGAACTGCAATAGAGTGTCCTGGGAGGTTGAAATGCTTTGATATTACTTTATCCTGATTTTGAGTTCTGATGACAAACCTGTGTCCATTAATTATTTTGTGCAAACTTTGTCTTGCAAAGAATTGTGGATCTCAAAGTGTTCATTTTTGAAAAATGAGACTTTAACCATACCAGTGAATGAGAGTTTACTGAATTGAACATATATCTCGAAGTTTCAGGCTGTCTCAAAATATCTTAGAAAAAAAAAGGTTTCTTACACATAATTATTGATAAACTAATCTGTTTTGTACCCAATCTGCATCTACATAATCAACCTGTCTTCCTCCCCTTCCCCTTTTCTCAGCCCAATTTATATCTCTCATTAGTTGGTTTTCCATGCATCTTAGGAAGTGGCCTGTAGCTTATGATGCAAACTTATTTATTTATCTACTAAAGTTATAGGCTGCCTGACTCCCAACAACTCTGACTATGTCTTCTAATAAAAAATTATTAGTCTGAAAAGGTGCTATCAGAATCAGCAGCTACTGTAGACAATAATGGCTCATCTCCCACTGTCATGATAATTGATTATGGAGGAACACAAGTGCATTCAGATCTTCTTACAGGTTTACTCCATAAATTTGTTAGGCCACTGTGCAAAATAGGATTGGATCAAAAAACCCTATCTGGTCTTACATCTAATAACGGCCAACTAGATGCCAATCAGAAGCCAGCAAAGGAATGAGAATTAACCACCGAAAGATACATCCAGAACATTCGTAATTGTTAATATGCTTTACATTTACTAACTAAAATGAAAGTGGTGGAAGAATGTCAAACTTTAATGTGTTGCTTATCCAAAGATGAAGCTGTCTTCTTCCACTGTGCAGGGTCTTTTATGAACATTAGGTTTTACTGCACAATGCCTGAAGGACAGTTAATTGAGACATGAACACAAATCTTCAGGTTAATGCTTGGCATATGACACCACTCTCTGGACTGTAAAGATTTAACACGGTGGCTTAAAAAGTAATCTAAGGAACAAAAATATTAAATTTTTAAAAAAGGCAATTCCGTATGTTCCAAATATACATTAAAAATCTAAGAAATCTTTGCGACATTCTCTTAAGGCAACTGCATGAATTTAATGCAGTAGAAATTCATTTTTATTTTTTTTTTACCTTGCAGGGTTTTTATAACAAGCAGTGATTTAAATGGAGTAGCATGATGATATAGAAGTAATTATGACAGAAGTGTTTATTCATTTCTTTTCTCCTTAGGTGGTTGTTCATTTGATGAACATTACAGTAACTGTGGTTATAGTGTGGCACTAGGGACCAATGGATTTACTTGGGAGCAGATTAATACCTGGGAGAAACCAACAATGGATCCAGCTGTCCCAACTGGTAAGTACAGAGCATAGTGGAGGAAAAAAAGCTTTTAAATATTTTTGAAATCCTAATGTCATAAAATGAGAAAAGCTTGATAAGTTAATGAGATAAGCTTGATGAGAATTTAATGATTATGTATCCAAGAATTGACCCTTTTCTTTTGAGAGGTATGTTATTATTCTCTGTTCAGGATTTTTTTTTTCTTGAAAATAAGCTTTTGTGAAGTCAAATTGAATAGTCCCCCCCTCTTTTTTTTTGTTTGCTTTAACCAGGATTTAATTGTTTTAATATTTCTTTGGATTTTATTCATTCTTTATATGATTTATTAGATTTATAACATCTAGAGTTAATTTAATTTTAGTGTTTATCATCTTGACTTTTCATTACCAGTAAGCCAGAGCTCTTCCAGAAATTGTCCTATAATTTCTTTGACCTTATCTTTCTGTTGAATCCATTTTCTAATGCCTGCTCATTGCCCATCAAACTTCACTTTCTAGTGGAGTTGATTCTGGAATAACATTATTTCAAATATTGTCATATCATTATAGTTGTAAATAAATAATTTTAGTGTAGCCTGCAAACTTATTTTACTTTAATTGCCTCCATTAGCTATCATCCATTATTACCTTTGAGTAGAAGAATATCTACCAATTCTTAACAATATGATCTTGTCATTTATTGCACTATGGCTGAAAACATACTTAGCAAAGTTTTTTGGGGGTATTGTTGATGTTCCATTCCATCATGTAGCCCAAATATATGAAGTAATTATCAGAATTAAAGTAACCGATCGACTTTTTCCAAAAACATCCCGCTTGATATGCTTTCTTTTCATTTAATAATTTAAAACCTTCCCTGATCCATGCTGCTTACATTTCAGGTTTTAACTGAATGCATCCTCTTGACATTGTTCTAACCCAGATTTCATGAGCCCTACTCAACAACCTACTCATGAGAAGAAACCCCTTTTTATTTAGAAAGGCAGGAATTCATGGCATTCACTGACAAAGATCCAGGTCACACATCTGTAGGTGATTCACAAGCCTTAACAGTCTCTAAGTTCCCCACAATTAGCACTGCAATCCCAACACAAAGAGTCCTATTTGTTTGTTTTCTTTGTTTAATTGCTTAAATGGTAGATGTAAGCTGCTTTTATATTGTACAGTATGTATTGAATAAAAACATTTTATTATTTGACTTTAATCATTTAGGATATTATAAAGTTCAGTTCAAATATTTCACTTATAATAACTGAATTGTATTGGTTATGATTGCAACTGCATTATGCAAACCTGACAGAATAAAACAAGATTAATGATGAATGTAATTATCTGCATAGTTTCTAGAAAACAATATTGTCATTTATAAATTCACAAAGCAAATTTTATTCTTAGAGAACTAATAACCTTGGAAAACAAGAAAGTTACTTTAGAAACATCAACAGTATTATTTATTTTTTAATAATGAAAGGCTAACTATAGCACCACCAGGGGGGGAAAAAAAGCTATATAGTCAAGCAAAAAAACTAGATATTATGGTGAATAAAACACACTAAAGAAAAATTAAAGAAAACTAAAGAAAAAAAATTAATTAAGAGAAGAAAAACATCCATATAGTAACTATCAATACTATATAAAATGTACTCAATCTTTATTAAATGTAGAAACAAATTGCTTTATTTTCTCATTATTAGAACAATGATTTTTCCAAGATAGATAACAGGCCTATATCCTCATTGCATCTCTTATAATCAGAAGAGTAAGTGACTTTTCATTTACATAAAATTATCTCTTTGCCATGCCCCACACTCAATAGCGATAGATCTTTGTGAGTTGGCAAATTAAGAGATCTCCTCAGTACTAACCAAATCAGATGAACCTTTTCCAGAATGTAACATAATGGAAAATATTTTCAAGTATGTGAGAATCAAAGATAGTTTTCATGACAATCAAATTGTATGGTAATGATTGTTCTTGGTATCAAGAAAATAAATTCCAACATACATACATTTGTATATCCAACCATTTTGCATATGTTTGCATAAAATGCAAGCAGGGAACAACTGTAGTGCAAACAGATAATGCATATTGACTAGTGCAATGAGAATTAGAATTAATATTTGAGGGAGAAATAGCATATTTGAATACACATTTGCAAAGATGTAAGTTTAGGGTAGGTACAGTATCTATGTTTGTTTTTCTTTATCCAAGAGTCTTGCTGATACCAGTGCTGGCTTTTGGGGAATTCATTTATTTATTTAATTTGTATGACTACCCATCTCAAGCAAATGACTCTGGATGGAAAACAATCATAGAATCAATTAAAGAAGTATAAACACAATAAAAAAAGAATTAAATACATATGGTAGCCAAGAATTACTATAATCCATAGATATTAGCATGACCAGGAAATAAGACCCTTCACACACTCAAGACCTTAGTCCCAGACACATAACCTGTCTTCAAGTTTTTTTCAAAAAACCAAAATGGTTGGTGCCCTCCAAACTTCTATAGGAAGAATGTTCCCAAGGGGAGGCTCAACTACCGCATGACAAGATGAGCTCCTATTGTTGCCCCATCTCCCACCAAACTAGCAGTTTGAAAGCATGTAAATGCAAGTAGATAAATAAGTACAACTTTTATGACAGAGTCATAAAAATATATCATAAATGCTAAAATAAGTTTATTACAGTTTAATAAATGAAAACTAAATGAAAAAATCTTCAACCCTAAAAATAATATGAAAATTCTGTTCCCACCAATAAAGTTCACATGAAATATCCAACATTCACTTTGTACCATCACCTCATCCATCGCAGACTTTGCTTCCCCTCAAAAAAAATTAAGTGTGGCCCTCAGCCATGAATAGTTCCCCATTGTGTTTCAACTCTGTAAACCAGAATGCCTGCTATTTTGTCTTCCAGCACAAATAAACTCTTCTTGTCTTCAGTTTGATTCTTATTGTTAATCCTTAGAAATTCTGCATTTGCCAAGAATCTTTTTTCTTCGTTCCTTTAATTGTCAATTTAGAAATGTATCTGCCTGCCTGCCAGCCAATATGACATGGCTCGTGTGTCTTTTTAGATATTCTGCTGGGCAGCTTGTGGGATTCACTTATCTATAAGCAGCTGCTGTATGGCTGGGGGAACATCGAAATGACTTAGCCACTTGGATGGAGGATCAATTGCTAGACCTTTGTAGTGGAATGAATTCTTGCTGATAAGAGGATCCTCATTCCTGAAAGAAGATTGAAAGAGCACCTTGGCAACTAAAGTTCTAGTATTTAATGCAACACTGAAAAATAATACCATTCTTTTCTTAGCTTCAGAGGAATAATGTATTTACTTAACTCTGAATAATAGCCCACTAAATGTTGATAAATCATACTTATTTAAAGCACAACATTTGAAACAAATTGAGATCAGATCCATCCTTGTATTTTTAACTTTTCGCCCATAGAAAATTAAAAGCAAAGAAGCAGGCTGTGCTAAAATACTGAATGTCATGCTACTTTCCATGGTACAGCTTTGCCTCTTTTTATTCATTCTGTGTATTCAATAATAATAGAAATAATTGGCCTCCAGTGAAGTTCTGAGATAGGCAGCTGTTGAGCATTCATACCTTTTCAAATAAAATTGTGGCTGGAAAGAATATTGAGACAGATATTTAACAGATATTATAGCTTCTCAGATCATTTGATGCCTTGGAGAATGGTGTACCTCTATAATGCTTCTTCAAACTACATAATATTATTATATCTTGTCAGGTAGACAGATACACAATCCATCCACAAAGTTTGCCTAAATGATGCATTTACTTTGACTTGTAAAGCCATGAGACAAGTTTATTTTAGTTACAAAGACAGATGATTGGAAAGATTGACTTCCTTAATGTCTATGGAGATTCTCAGTCATCCAGGTCATGGTTGTCCCAAAGGTGCTTTTACAAGTGGCAACTGGACTTTTTGGTTTTTCTTTGAAGATGTTTCACTTCTCATCCAAGAAGCTTGAAGCTTCTTGAAGCTTGAAAAAGCACCTTTAGGATTGACCTCCTCACTTTAGCTTCCTAGTTAGAATATATATATATATATATATATATTGTTTTGCATTTTTGATGGTTTATAAACAATTGAACTGTTTTATACTACATGATGGAAAGTTCTTGTAAAGACATCAGAGAGAGGAGACTTGCATGGTATGCATATAGTAGGGTGAATCAATAGCAGCATAATTTTAAAGTCAAAGGGTAAGAAGCTGGACTGTAGAGAATTAAGCAACAGAAGGAATAGGATACATTCTTATCTTACTTCTGTATGAGGAAGGAATTGTTTCTAACAGATGAGTGTCAAGATTATACGTGTCAGAAAGGTGTTGCAGTGTTCAAAATTCAGCATTTAATATCTATTGAGCCACAAGCACCACACTATCTATAAAGGACTGTTTCAGTTTCCTCCATAGCATGATATGAAATCAAAAATAGTTTTCATTTATGGTCCACTTGGTGAGACACTGTATTTTTCAGCAAAATTAGTCACTGGTCAACAACAGACCATTCTAAAGCTTATGTATTCCTTTGCTCTTTTGTTTTGTTTTGTTTTGCTCTTTTGTTCTTCTCATAAAATCGTTTTAAGTATTTCCAGTTATTATAAATTCATAGCACTCTAGAATTGAAAGGGACCTTGGAAATTCTCCAACCCAATCCTTGCCCAAAATAAGAATCACTACTATCTATCATTGACAGATGGCCATCCAACATCTGTTTAAACATCACCAGTGAAGGCAATACCCTCATCTTTCAGGGTTGCAAATAGTCATTGTCAAAACAGTGCATAAGGCAATAATTGAAACCCAGGATCTTCCTGAATACTTTTTAGAAATAAATTCTGTAAAAGTTAAATTAATATGTGTTTTTATTTAGAAGTTGATTCTGAAGAATTAGAAGCTCTTACAAAAGCATAGAGTTTTGTCAACTTACATCACACTATTGATGATAATATCAAGAGTGTTCACTATTTGT